CCTGGTGGTCCTGCTGGTTGGGGAGTGACCCCCAGTTAGGGAAGCAGTGCCCCCCCGTCCCCCCTCCCCTGCTGGAACTGGCTCTAGTTCTTAGGAGTCACTCCTTTCCCCCAGTTACTCTGGGAAAGCCACTGGCTGACAGCTTCGCTGAGTGACTCTCCTCCCTCACCCCTAGCTTGCTATGGCATCGTTCAGGTGCCAACGGGACCCTGGTTCTGCCGGAAGTGTGAATCTCAGGAGAGAGCAGCCAGGGTGGTGAGTTCCAGACTCCCCTTCGGGGCCCCACTCCCCTCCCACACACCTGAGCATCCCGTCCCTGTCGAGCTAGGGGACTCAGGCTGGGGTGGGTCTCAGCTCTGTCACACAGGACTTCCTGTTTCCTGTACACCTATCACCAACCCCATCTCCTTCAGCTCACCCCTCACTCTGCCCCAGCCCAAGCACGGGACTTTGGTCTGTTTGAACTTTTGTTATGGAAAGTTTCCCATCTGTGTGAAGGCGGAGGGACTGTGCTAACGCCCTGTCCCTCAGGCATCTTTAACAATTGTCAACTGAAGGCCAAGGCTGTTTCTTCAGCCCCCTCCCCCTGCCATCCTACCACCTCACCCTGGGCCCTGTGAATGGGCTCAGGGAGGGCTCAGCTCAGCAGACCCAACCCCTGTGCCCCTTGCGTTGGCAGAGGTGTGAGCTGTGCCCACACAAAGACGGGGCATTGAAGAGGACTGACAATGGAGGTGAGGGGGCTCCTCTCCTGAGGTCAGCAAAGTACCCAGACGGTCTGTGAAGGAGGAGTGGGCTGGGCTGGTTGAGGTTGGCTTTCCTGTCCCTGGCTGCCCCTGGAACCTGCCGGGCAGGCGGTGGAGGTGGGGCTGTCTGCAGCTGGGTGGGGGTGGGGTCTTGGGCTCGCCATCCACAGCTGAGGCCAACCCCACGCTGCCCCAGGCTGGGCCCACGTGGTGTGTGCCCTGTACATCCCCGAGGTGCAGTTCGCCAACGTGCTCACCATGGAGCCCATCGTGCTGCAGTACGTGCCTCACGACCGCTTCAGCAAGGTCAGCGGCCCCTGTAGCCCCAGCCCCTCCCTACCCCTCCCTAGCCTGCCACCCTGGGGTCACTTCAGTGCGGTTCTTTATCCAGTGCAATTTGATTCTGCCCAGCCAGAACTTTCAGGAAACTCAGGAGGGAATAGGTGCCTCCCACCGAACCACTCTTCCATTGACACACACACACTGACGCTCTGAAACTTGGGCAGAAATAGTAGGGTCCTGGCAGTAGTGTTGTCAGAGGTGGGCCTCAGCAAGCAGTTGACTCATTCAGTCGTTTCACTGAGTTTCATTTATCCCACTGGATGTGGTGCAGGGCACCAGGCACAGGTATTCTGTATTGGCCAAGATGGGTGTGCCGCCCGCCCAGTGGAACGCACATGCCTACTTGGGAAGACAGTGACTTACCGATAAATAGGCTGATTGAGTAAATGCGAGCTGGGATGAGTAGCAAGCTGGGATGAGTACCGTGGAAGGAAAACAGCCCTGAGATAAAGAACACCTGGGGGCTTCCTTTAGAGAAGGTGGTCTAGGAAGGAGACGTTTAGGTTGAGACTTGGGGCCAGAGTAGGAGCCAGCCTTGAGAAGGTAGGATCTCGGGTTCCAGGCAGAAGCAGCACGTACAAAGGTCCGGAGGTGAGAGTAAGCTCCCCGGTGAGCCAGACACATCCCCGGGCCTTTCCAAGCTTATTGTCCAAGGACTGTGTATCCAGTCCAGTAGCCACCAGCCCCAAGAGGCTATATAAGTTAATTTAGATTCTATTACTAAGTAGAACTTAGAATTCAGTTCCTCAGTCATAGAAGCTCATGTGACTAGTGGCAGCTGTGTCAGGCAGTACAGATCATAGAAGGTTCCCATTACTGGAACAAGTTCTATCAGACAGCGCTGTCTAAGGTCCTGGGGCGAGTGGAGGTGGAGGCAGATCCCTTGGGTAGCATAACGGGGCTTCCTGGAGGAAAGGACAATTGCTGTGTGCCCTGCAGACCTGCTATATCTGTGAGGAGCAGGGCCGGGAGAGCAAGGCGGCCTCGGGAGCCTGCATGACCTGTAACCGCCACGGATGTCGACAAGCCTTCCACGTCACCTGGTGAGATCCCTGCCCTGCCCTTCCCTGCCACGGCTGCTGCCTCCTGGGATGAACTTGGCTCCACCTCAGCCAGGGTCTGGGAGGGTAGGAGGGTGCCTGGCCTGGTCTGCGGCCACACTCTCCTAAGACTGGCGTTTCTTGTTAGTGCCCAGATGGCAGGCCTGCTGTGTGAGGAGGAAGTGCTGGAGGTCGACAATGTCAAGTACTGCGGCTACTGCAAATACCACTTCAGCAAGATGGTGAGCTCCGTCTACCAGGGCGGTGTGGGTCAGTCACCCACGGTTTATAAGGCGTGGGCTCAGGGCCAGGCCGGGGGCTGTGCTGGGAGGACAGTGGTGGGAAGGACCAGTTCCCACCCTTGAGCTCTCCATGTGATGGGGAATGAATTAAAGACTGAGGGCCATCAGTCAGAGCTGACCCACGCTGTGCACTCCAGAAGACAGAGCTCGGACCCTGTTGCTCAGTATGAGGGGCTTCATGGAAAAGGCAACACTGAAACTGAATGGGAGTTAACGTTTCTATGCCCCAGCCTCTGCACTCAGCTTTTATCTTTTATAAGCTACTGGATTTTTAAAAAGAATTCTTTGTTTAATTTTGTTTATTATTATTTTAATTCACCATAGTGAGACAGAGAGAGGGAAAATGAGAAAGCAAGCTGCCAGGTCTGGGACTCAAACCATAGTCAGCCATGTGTGAATCCAGAGCCTTCACTACCACACCACCTGCTGGCTCATTTACGTGTTTGATTTTGTGTGATCCTCCTAACCACCCTAGGAGCTAGGTGTTTTATTTTCCCCATTTCACAGATGAGTAAACTAATGCTCCCCCAGATTATGTAATTTAGCCTACAGCTGGCAGATGGGATTTAGACTAGGCAGCCTGATTTGAAGCTCCTCAGGAGCCTGTCAGGTGAACACAGAGAAGTCCAGGCCAGGAACTGGCACGGACCCAGTCCTGAGATGAGAAGGAGCCTGTGTGAGTGGCATGAGGGTGAGGTATTTGGTAGGGATGAGGCAGGAGATGGGGCTTTCCAGAAAGCTTCAGCAGGGCCAGGGCTGGGCTGGCTTCTGCTGCAGGAGAGGCTGGAGTGGATGCTAGCCCTCGTTCTTGGAGACACCGGCCTGTTCCAGATGCTGTGCGGTGTCCTGGAGAAGTTGGCCACAGCCGGGACCTCACTCCCAGGCCACAGGCTTGCAAGCCTGTGAGCAGAGAGTAACATGATCAGATTTGTTTTTAGGAAGATTACCCTGGCAGCCACGGCGAAGCCGGATCGGAGGACCGAGGCTGGTGACTGGGAGACAGCTCTGAGAAGGGGGATGGTGGGATGAGGCTGGGTGTCAACTAGACTCGGCTAAAAGTGAAGGCAGTGTAGAAGTAGGAGTTGAGGGTGACACTTGGGATCCAGGGCCCAGCCTCTAGACATTGGGTGAATGGAGCTTGAATCCCCAGGATGGGTGCCACGAATAGGGCCCAGCTGGCTTCTGTGGGGTGAGTGTATGGCCTGGTTTGTCCTGGGCAGCCCCAATCTCTGCCTGTTGCTCTGGTGTAATTTTTAATAGCCCTCCCTTTCACTTTAAAAAGTGTCCTGATTTGGTTCATAAGTTATATGGTCATTTTATAAGTTTCCAAGGGATATGTTCAGATGTGGTGGCTGTCAGATCCCCCCCTTCCCTGAGCAGGACTGAATCCCCACGTATTCACAAGGATAGCGTGGGCCCAGGTGGGAAGGGAACCACTGAAAGGGGTCTGGAGCACAGCAGGGCAGGAGCAGTACTCCGTGCTGGGGGCTGGGGTTCTGGGGAGCAGCTGGGTAGGACAAGGCCTGAGAATTAGCCCCTGGATTTGGCAGTGGGGAAAAGGTTGGTGACCTGAGAGGGAGCAGCTGCAAGCTGGGGTTGGGTGAAGCCAGCAGTCAGGGCTGCGGGGAGCGCATTAGCCGTTAAGGGATGGGGGACGGTGGCCCCTGGCTTGAAGGCAAGGCAGTGCTAGGGTTGTTTGTCCTTGATGTTTAGGGGCAGTGCATTGTTTTTGCTTTAGTTTTTCCTGTAGGGCATGTGCACTCACCAGAGAGAGAAGGGAAGTGAGAAAGCACCTCCAGGGAGGATGGCCACACCACAGTCCCTTCTCCATCCTCGGGGTTTGGGGGACGTGCACACACTCACCTGGTGACTTTTTCAAGCCACTAGGTCTGGGACTCGCACTGTGCAGTCGGCCATGTGGAACTCAGCCACCTTAGCCACCAGGCAGCTGGCTGGCCCCAGCACAGCACATTCTTTAGGGCAGAAGCTACCACTGGCTGTATTTAGTGAAGGGAAAGGGCCAGGAACAAGGGAGGAGGAGGTGCTAGCTGGATGAAGTGTCTGGGGGGACAGATGGGACATGGAGTGTGGGGGAGAGGGTCCCGTGCACATCCTCTCACTCAGCAAAGGAGGTGGAGATGGACAGTGGTTTTCTAAGCCCAGGATGGGCCAGCAGGGCACCCTGGAGAGAGCAGGGGGTGGAAAGGAGATCTGGACTCCAATCCTCCCTCCACCTGTGCTTTGCTGGGGGGCCAAGACACCCTCTGCTTCTTCTGGGCTCCACTATTGAGTCTACATTGGCTAAGCTGGGGGACCTCTAGGATTTTTAGGCTGAGCAGAGCATCGTGGAGGACTCGAGGTCCTCTTAGTGACAGGAGGGAAGATGGACTTGCCCCAGGATTGTCAGCTCTTCAGGGCTCTTTCTCTAAGCTAGAGAGGAGGGCTTGGTAACTCCTCCGGTTCTGTCCCCAGAAGACGTCCAGGCACACCAGTGGAGGCGGTGGTGGCAGTGGCAGCACAGGGGGAGGTAGCAGTGGCTTTGTCGCTGGCAGGAGAAGCCGGTCAGCCTCACCATCCACCCAGCAGGAGAAGCACCCGACCCACCACGAGAGGGGCCAGAAGAAGGTACAGGTCTTTGCTCCACCTCTCCTGCCCAGTCTCCGCATGTGCTCACATACACTCATGCTCACAAATGCTCTTTGTTCAAGAAGCCACTGTGAGGTGCCCTGAGGTCTGGAGCTGCCCCCTTACTTCTGAGAACATGGAGGGGTGGGAGCAGGCTGAGGAAGTGAAATGGAGTGTCTGGAAGGGCAAGGTGGGGGCTCTGTGTCCGGGTGCTTCCTCCGTGGCAGTGTCCCCAGAGCCCCAGATACATGATCCTGCACACAGTCTGTGCACATGCCAGCCCAGTTTGTGAGTGCACCACATGTGTCCCTCATGCTCCGTACCACGTGTGATGAGCCCCTGCACAGCCCCGTGTCCCAGGTGGACACCCCTGCAGGTGCGTGCTCACGTGTGTAGTGTTCTGTGTCACTGGCGTGATAATGGGACAGGCTATTTTTAGCAGGCAGCAAGGATGGGGGAAGGGCCTCTGGCTCTCAGAGGAACTAGCCCGAGCCTTTCCTGACCAATCAGAGTTCCCCGTCCTCCAGTCCTCCACGAGGGGAGATGACTCCCACAGAGCCCCATCCCTGAGAAGGGTCAGCTCCCCACAGCCACGTGTCACACTCATCCTCACCCAGACGGCTCCCCTTGACCAATATCTGTCACCTCTCCCTCCCCAGAGTCGAAAGGACAAAGAACGCCTTAAACAGAAGCACAAGAAGCGGCCTGAGTCACCCCCCAGCATCCTCACCCCGCCAGGGGTCCCCACTGCTGACAAGGTATGGCCGCCCACTTTCAGAAGGGATGAGGTGCTAGTCTGGGGACACAGTAGGACAGGCAAGGTTGGGCCATGCTCCCCTTCTAGCCTAGGAGGGGCCTGTGCTCTGAGAGGCCCCACCAATCACTGACCACCCATGAGGGCAGGGGCAGAGTGGGGTGCCACCCTGCCTGCTGGCTGCCAGATGTTCACCTCTGGCTCTGTCCTGATAGAGACCTCGTCACTAGGCTCTGGGCTGCAGAGAGGGGTAGAGCACACCCAGGCCCGTTCTCCAAGTCTAGGGGCCCATCCCCCAGAATGAGGCAGAGGACCCCCTCTCCTGTCAGCACTCCAGAGCCTGCCGCCTAACTGAGATCCCATGCCATGCAGGTTGAAGGAGCTGAAAGTGCCTGCCAAGGTGGCATGGAGGGCAGGCTGCTGGACAGTGCCCCAGGCCCTGCCCTCTCCCCGCCAGGCAGGATATGGTATGTCAGGCTTGGCTCCAGGAATGGGCAACATCTGGTTGAGAGAAGGGCAGGCCCTCGCCTAGGCCAAGAAAGGAGTCACTAATCCAAGCCAGAACACCCTCCCTGCTGCTGCCTTCAGTCTGCCCTCCCCATGGAAGCAGTACCCTGGGGGCCTAGAGAAACTGCTTCCTCCTGTCTCTGCCATGTTGCCTTCTCCTCCGCCTGCCTCAGATGGGTGGTTGTGCTCAGGGCATCGTAGTGAGGCTCAGGTATCGGGTTTCCAGGGCAATGTTGCTGTAGCAACTGCCCCAGTAACCCTCTCCCCTCCCTGCTTCCCAGGACTCACCTGGAAAAGCCTATCATTCATGCCCTTTGACCTTTCTAGGGCCTGCAGGCAGGTGGGAAGAAAGGGCCACAGATCTGGGAGTTCCTGGTCATTGCTTGTCTCTTGGACAGGCCAGAGAATTCTGCCCAGCCCCCTCCACCCGCCCCAGCACTTCAGCTGCCCTCCCCCAGCCCCTCTCCTCCCTTGCTCTCAGAACCACATCTGGCTCCCTTCAGAACTCCAGCTGTTTAAAAGAACAAAGAAGAAGACACAGACCAGGGCTCCGCCCGGGGAGGGGCAGCACAGGATGGCTCTCAGTTCCCCACCCAGCCTCCCTCTAATACTTGTGTGCTCAGCACAATTTCCTGAATACCTGGTCTCCACCAGGAGGAAAAAATGCCACCTCTGGCAGTAAAGGAAGCAAGAACTCACCACAAGTGCCGTGCTGGGCTCTCCTCTATAATGGGCTGGGAGGGGCGCGTGGGGATTAGTTGGTTTGATCCCCAGTATAATTCAAAACAGGTATTTATTACTCTTTTTAATAAATGAAGAAGTTGCACCACGGAGAGGTTAAGGAATTTGCCTAAAAGCGCACAGCCAGTGAGCGGCAGAGCTGAGATTTGAACCAGGCAATCTGGATGAAGGATCTGTGCTATTGACCCCTATATATAGCACTGTCGCTACAGTGCATTGCCAGCAGCTGCCACCATCACTGTGTCTGGCTGTGTGCTCCTAACTCCAAATTGGCATGATTTGCCCCATGCCACAGCTCACCAGGGTTGAGGGGCTCACACCCCAATCTAGCCACAAAGGGCAGGCCTGCAGGCCCACACCCTGCTCTACCCAAATCCAGCCACAACCTCCTGGCCACGCTCTGAGGTTACCAAGACTTCAGACATGGGGACAGTACGTTTCAGTGCAGTGTGGCGACTGTTGACATGTGGCTGTGGGCACACAGTGCCCTGGAAATAAGACAGTGACCTGTTTCACCCTAGGTGTCTAGGAAGGCTTCAGACACAGGGAGCTTCCAGGCTGGATATAAAGGAAGAGAAGTTTCCCAGGGGGAGTAAGGACGGGCCGTCCAGTGGAGGGCTCAGCATCTTCAGCTCAGGTGTCTAGGGGAAGCACACAGTGGTCGGAGAGTGCGGCAAAGCCTGGTGTTGGCAGCTGGAGAGCCCCAAGATGGAGCCAGGGGAGTAGGCCTGCCCTCACAGACACTGCTAAATACCGAAGTGAACAGACAATCAGAGTAACTCAGGGGACCAGCAGTTAGCATAATGGCTGTGTTGCTGGACTGTGTTGCTGGACTTCCACGTAGTTGACCGCGGTTCGAGTCTCGGACCCGGTGGCTTAAACTCATGCCGGGCGCATGTGCGTGCGTGTCCAAGATCCCGAGAGGAGAATGAAGGAGAAGGGATTGCGGTGTGGCCATCCCCCCTGGGGGGTGATTTCTCGCTTTCTGTCTCTCCATATCTCTCTGTCTGGCAAGCGCATGCGCCCTATAGCAAAAACCTCTCCAAAACAAACAAACAAAAAAAGACAGATCGGACTGCGCACCTTTCCCTTGCTGGGTGTCTTCCTGCCTGAGATGACAGCAGGTGCATTCTTGAACTCAGAGCACTCCCTTCTGCCTCCCCAGGAGCTCCATAGCTGCCTTCCCACTCCCTGGTCTAGGGGCTCCCCCTAGCCCGCTGCCTGGAAGTCCATCCAGTAACTCAGGTTCCTGGGTTGAGCCCAGATCCTGTGTCCCTGCCTCAGGCCCATTTCAGGGTGAGTCCTCTGTCTGCCTTCCCTCCAGGTCTCCTCCTCGGCTTCCTCTTCCTCCCATCATGAGGCCAGCACTCAGGAGACCTCTGAAAGCAGCAGGGACTCGAAGGGGAAAAAGTCTTCCAGCCATAGCCTGAGTCATAAGGGGAAGAAGCTGAGCAGCGGCAAAGGTGTGAGCAGTTTTACCTCCGCCTCCTCCTCCTCCTCCTCTTCCTCCTCCTCCTCTGGGGGACCCTTCCAGCCTGCAGGTGAGTGTGGACATCCAGAGGAGGCTGGGACTGGGTGGCCTTTTGCCCTGAGCTGCTCTCTCGAGGGCCTTCGCACAACATTGGTCTTGCATCTCACGTACTTCTGTGTTGGCTCAGGATAAAGATGGGGATCCCCACTGCATGCCCTCCTCCAGATCCTTTTCTCAGTCTTCCCTCTAATTTGAACTCTGCTCCCCTCTGGTTCAGGGCCCCTCCAACCCAGAGCAATTCTAGGGGTCCCTACACTTGAGCTGTAGAGGCCATTTTTTTCCCCAGAGGTTTTTGCTTTAGGGCGCATGTGCTCACCAGAAAGACAGAGACAGAGAGATAGAAAGGGAGAAATCCCCCCCTGGGGGTATGGCCATGCCACAATCCCTTCTCCTCCATTCTCCTCTCGGGATCTTGGGCATGCACGCACCCGGCATGAGTTTAAGCCACTGGGTCCGGGACTCGAACTATGGTTGCCTACATGGGAGTCCAGCAACATATCCATTACACCAACTGCTGGTCCCCAGAGGCCATTTTTAAGGCCTCATCGTTAATGTTATCTCCTCCCATCTGTACAGTCATCCAGTGAGGCCGGTAGGGTGGGAAATCTAGCAGGGCGGGACTCTGATCCAGGACTCAGGGACAGCAGCAGAGCTGGGCTGGGAAACCAGGCTTCCTCATCCAGAACCAGGGCTCTTGCCCCATGGCTCGTGGAAGGTGAGGGGACCTGGGCCAGCTGTAACTCTCTTTCCCCTCTGTGCAGTTTCGTCCCTGCAGAGCTCCCCCGACTTCTCTGCCTTCCCCAAACTGGAGCAGCCAGAGGAGGACAAGTACTCCAAGCCCGGGGCCCCCACCCCCTCGGCCCCACCCTCTCCCTCAGCCCCTGAGCCCCCCAAGACTGACCTCTTTGAGCAGAAGGTGGTCTTCTCTGGCTTTGGACCCATCATGCGCTTCTCCACCACCACCTCCAGCTCGGCCCGGGTTCGGGTCCCCTCCCCTGGGGACTATAAGTCTCCCCACGTCATGGGGTCCGGGGCCTCAGCTGGCAGCCACAAGAGGATGCCCGCGCTGAGTGCCACCCCTGCACCTGCTGAGGAGCCCCCTGAACCAGGCCTGAAGGAGAAGAAGCACAAAGCCAGCAAGAGGAGCCGACATGGGCCAGGTCGTCCCAAGGGCAGCCGAAACAAGGAGGGCACTGGGGGCCCGGCCCTTCCCGCCCTGCCTGGGGCCCAGCTGGCCGGCTTTACTGCCACGGCCGCCTCACCCTTCTCCGGAGGTTCCCTGGTCAGCTCTGGCCTGGGCGGCCTGGCCTCCCGCACCTTTGGGCCTTCTGGGAGCTTGCCCAGCCTCAGCCTGGAGTCCCCCCTGCTGGGGGCAGGTTAGTAACCTCCCCCCTGGGATGGAGGGTATCTCAGGGCCCAGCCAGTCTAGAGGGGGCAGAGGCATGGAGGAGCAGTTAGAAGGAAATGTGGCAGAAATTGCTCCAGAACAGAGTTGAGGATGAAATGAGAGTTACCTCCAAGACACTCCTGCACCAGACTCCTGTGTGCTTGTGGTGGGAGACTGGGCTAGGTACCATCAGGATGGACCAAGTTCAGGGAGAGGAGCTGGAAAAGCTAGCACTTCTCCAAGCCTGGGCAGGGCAGTCTGATAGGCACATCAAGCGGATGTCACCCAGCCAAGAAATGGCATCTGAGCACAAGGGTGACGCTGGTGTGTGTGGCCAGATGGGCTGGGGAAGCGTATTCTCTGGGAGGGCTGAGCCCCCTGACTGAGGGGAGCTGGGTGAGGAGTGACTGTACACTTCCCTCTCTTCCTTGTCTGTAGGCATCTACACCAGTAATAAGGACCCCATCTCCCATGGTGGCGGGATGCTGCGGGCTGTCTGCAGCACCCCCCTCTCTTCCAGCCTGCTCGGGCCCCCAGGAACCTCTGCCCTGCCCCGCCTCAGCCGGTCCCCCTTCACCAGCACCCTCCCCTCTTCCTCTGCTTCTATCTCCACCACTCAGGTGAGGCCTACCCCTGGGCTTCTTCCCTGGGCACGTGGGGGACAGCTGAGAGTTGGAGAGATTGGGCTGGACCCTACCAGAACCTTCCCCTCTCCTTGGTCCTCTTCCCCCTTCACCCCTACTCACAGTTGTGCCCTAGATCCAAGAATCACCCCAGGCTGGATCCTGCCTCCCTCCCTCAGGTGTTCTCTCTGGCTGGCTCTACCTTTAGCCTCCCTTCTACCCACATCTTTGGAACCCCTGTGGGCGCCGTTAACCCCCTCCTCACCCAGGCGGAGAGCAGCCACACAGGTAAGTGTCTCTGGCCTGGTTCCCCTTTCTCCTCAAAGGCCTTGAGGGGTATCTGTCACTGCCTGCATGTGACCCCAGAGGGCTGGGAGGGCTTGCTGGCTGCCCCCTCCCTCTGGGCATTGCCCACCCTGCCCCCTCCAAAATAATAAATTAAATTTTAAAATCACGCAGACTAAACCAGGATACATTTTTACATTAAAACCCTGTGAGGGGCAGGGCGGGGCGGGCTAAGCTGGGCCAGGCCCAAGAATTTATTGCTCCATCTCACAGAAGAAAAAGGCAGAGATAAAAGACTGGCTCCAGGCAGATGAGGTAGGAATGTCAGAGCCTGAGGCCACATTCCAGCCTCCCGACTCCAAGCCCAGTGCTGTCACTGAGCAGTCGACCTTCAGCTCACCCCACCCCTTAGTGTGTCCCCGGGATCAGCTGTGGTGGAGCTCCCACCCACCGGGCAGTCTGCCCTTGGGGGATTTAGGAGTAAGGATGCGGGACTAGCGCCCCACAGTCTCCCTGGAGACTTGGCCAGCCCCAGGGAGCTGATTGGTGCAGAGACACCACCTGTCAGGCGGAGGGGCGGAGCTTATCCCCGCTAGTTAGGTAGACCTTAGTGGCCAGTCCTCTCGCCGGTTTAAGACCCGAGGGAGGTGGTGACTATATCTTATAAAGCCCTCATAGGGATTCTGGGGCCCAGCCCTTTAGTTTGCCTTCTGACTTCAGAGTTTATGAAGATAAAAACGCAAACAAAGCTAATAATGATAATAGCTAGTTATTAAGAGCTTGCTGCATGCCAGCTAAGCCCTTCAGCCAAACACTTGACATTTAGTGCCATGTTTTAATCCCAGTAAGAGTTATTTCAGAGAGATTACTTAGGAGCCCAAGGTCACACAGCAAGTTATTGTCAGATTCAAATTCAGTCCAGGTCTGTCTTGACCTCAGATTCCTGCAACTCTTGAAGCTCCCAGGAAAGAAACTGGGAAATGGATCTGAAAGTAGCCAGCCACAAGACAGCCTAGAGAAAAGCAGACCGAGGGCAGATGCCCCGCTTTGCCTCCCAAGGGCCAGGGTTTCCAAGCCAGGACCCTTGGCGCCTTACCAACTTACCTGACAGTCCCGGGTCGGGGAATCCTGAGGAATGGGGTCTGCGGTGAGGTTCCAGATTTCGCACCCACCACTGGGCGGGGACCCTGAGGCGGATGGCACCCCTCCCCTGCTGATCCCTGCCCTTCCTTCTCCTTCCAAGAGCCAGACCTGGAGGATTGCAGCTTCCGGTGTCGGGGGACCTCCCCCCAGGAGAGTCTGTCTTCCATGTGAGGGAGGGGGCAGCGGCTTGGGGGAGGGACTGGGAGCGGGAGGGGGCAGGAGGGCCATCCAAAGGGGAAGAGGGTGGAGAGGGTGGGGAAGAAAGGGAACACGCTGGAATCCCGGAGTGGGAGGGAAGGGGGCAGCTTGGATTGGGTGCGAGCCAAGCCTGAGCCTCGTTTCCTTTTCCGACCTAGGTCCCCCATCAGCAGCCTCCCTGCCCTCTTCGACCAGACAGCGTCTGCACCCTGTGGGGGCATCCAGTTAGACCCGGCAGCTCCAGGAACGACTAACATGGAACAGCTGCTGGAGAAACAGGGCGACGGGGAGGCCGGTGTCAACAGTGAGGAGGGGTGGCCCGGTCAGGAACACTTGCCCTAGGGCCCTCATTCTCACCTTTCTCCCCAGCTCCCCAGGCCTCTTCAAGGTTCCTCCCACCAGTAGGCCGGCTGCCTGGCCGCACCTCACTCTGAACCCTGGCTAGGCCTGCTCCTGGCCCCACCCCCTCCACTCCCCGCTCGGCCACCTCCAGGCCCAGACTTTACCAAACCCCAACCAACGTCCTCCTCTTCTTTCCCTGTTGGGTGGCCTCGTCCCTGGGCCTCAGACCCTGCCCTTGGTCCTCTCACCTCCGGTTCCCCTGGCCCTGCCTCTCCAGGCTCACCTGTGTCCCCAGCTAGGCCGGTGGCTTAGTTTCGAAGTCCGAGTCCATCTTCCCCTCCAGGCCCTGCCCCTCCGGGCCCCGCCCCTCCAGGCCCCGCCCCTCCGGGCCTGGGCCACCTTTTCTGCATCCTGGGCCTCAGGCTCCCTTGCGGTTTCTCCGCAGTCGTGGAGATGCTCAAGGCGCTGCACGCGCTGCAGAAGGAAAATCAGCGGCTACAGGAGCAGATCCTGAGCCTGACGGCCAAGAAGGAGCGGCTGCAGATTCTTAACGTGCAGCTCTCGGTGCCCTTCCCCGCTCTGCCTGCCGCCCTGCCTGCCGCCAACGGCCCTGTCCCTGGGCCTTATGGCCTGCCTCCGCAAGGTGAGGGGATCCTGCCTAGCCCAGGAGTGGGGCTTCCCTGCTTGGCCATTTGAACTGGCGACTCCAGCCCTCGACTTCTGTCCCTTAGCCGGCAGCACCGACTCCTTGAGCACCAGCAAGAGCCCTCCAGGGAAGAACAGTCTCGGCCTGGACAACTCGCTGTCCACATCTTCTGAGGTGGGCGCCACAAGGAGGGTGAGGGGACAGACTCCAGGTCCTCCTGGCCCCATCTCTACCCTGCAGCTAGTGCAGGCTGAGCAATTGACAAATTGTTCACTCCTTAGACAAGTCATGAGAGGGCAGTTCAAAGGTTGGTGAGAAAATGGAATTCAAGTGCAAGTTTATTTTAGTACAAAAAAAAAAATTGAAACCCGGGAAATGTTTCCATAATGAACATTTTCCACGAACATTTCGAAGACCCACTCCCAGTTTATGAGGTGCCCATTTTCATGCTAGTGGGTGCTGGCTGAGCAGTCAGGAACCAATACAGTCCTCCCCCCAGAAAACAAGAACAAATTAAAGTGGGGAGAAGTGCAGAGTAAGCTGAGTACTGTGGGAACAGGGAGGGAAGGCATCTTCTGTGGGTACAGTGGTTAGGGACAGCGCGCAGCGGTGTCTATGAGGCTTTATCTTAGCGCCTCTCACCAGAAGATACGTATGATTGGTGGTGGTGGGAATCGCAGTTGCTATTGTCCTGTGGTGGTTATTATTGAAATCCAACAACAGGGTTCTTGTTCTCCCTCTGCCGCTTATTAACTCTGTGACTTGGGCAGTAATAACCCTCATAATAACTAACATTAATTGCAGCCTTGCCCACTGTCAAGCCTGTGTTGAAATTTTGAAAGCACTGGTTTACTTAGGCTCCACAAAAACCTTCGGGACTAGGTATATTATTACCCCCAGGTTATGGTTGAGTGAACCGAGGCAGAAAGGATAATCGCAGGCCACTCTCGCCGATGAATGGTGGTCCTAGGATACAAACCTGAGCCTTTCGTTCTGTCTGTAGTGCTCTGGCCTGCAGAGTTACTTAACCTAAGAATTGATGACTTTACCCGTAAAATGGGGAAAACTAACTAGCACCAGTCAAGCACTAAACCGCAGGTCTGACTTACTAGTCGGTCACAAACCATCGTTGTTCGTTATTATAAAAGACTGAGTAGGCGTGCTGGGACCTTGGGAAGTGGTCAGTAACCGTGGTTTGCAAGACTGTAATTTTTTAGCCTTCAGCCCTGGGCCTTCTTCCTCCAGGGTACTTGGGCCAATATGGGGATGGCTGTGTTCTGTGAGAATGCTGGTGGGTGCTGGGCGGGGGGCCAGAAGAATGGTGCTGGCCCTCTGGCCCTCTGACCTCTCCCTTCCCCTCCCTCCCCAGGACCCACACTCAGGCTGCCCAAGCCGCAGCAGCTCGTCGCTGTCCTTCCACAGCACGCCCCCACCGCTGCCCCTGCTCCAGCAGAGCCCTGCCACTCTGCCCCTGGCCCTCCCTGGGGCCCCTGCCCCGCTCCCGCCCCAGCCGCAGAATGGGTTGGGCCGCGCGCCCGGGGCAGCAGGGCTGGGGGCCATGCCCATGGCTGAAGGGCTACTGGGGGGACTGGCGGGCAGGGGGGGCCTGCCCCTGAATGGGCTCCTTGGGGGGTTGAATGGGGCTGCTGCCCCCAACCCTGCAGGCTTGAGCCAGGCTGGTGGGGCCCCGGCGCTGCAGCTGCCAGGCTGTCTCAACAGGTGAGGGAGAGCTCAGTGTGGGGAAGGGAATGGGGAGGCTGGCTCTGGGAGGGGTCCCCCAAACACCCATGATCCCCAGACAGCCCCTGGTCCTAGAGTGTATGTAGTGCTAGGCATCCCCTGGCCTGTTGGGATGAAGGCTTCATCGCAGCACTGCTAGATGTTAGTGCCCACTGCAGGCTCGTGTTCCAGGGGCAGGAGGCTGTCTACTGCCTGTTGCCAGCTCTGTTTTCCTTCTGGGACCTTCTAATTTGTATCCCTCCCACTGCACCCTCTAAGCTCAGTCTTCTAGAATGGCACGTCCCTGCCTCTCCTCACCCGGGCTGAGGGAGCTGGAGCTTGGGGCGTGAATCCCTGTCCCTTCCCCATGTCTGTGTGTTGTCCTCCCCTCAGCCTGACCGAGCAGCAGAGACACCTTCTTCAGCAGCAGGAGCAGCAGCTCCAGCAGCTCCAGCAGCTCCTGGCCTCCCCTCAGCTGACCCCGGTAATGTCTTTGTCCCAGGGCTCTCCCTCTTCCAGCTCTGCCTGTGAAGGCCCATCATTGGGGAGGGAGTCAGGACTGCTCTCGGGGTCCTCTGGCACTGGGAAAGGCATGCTGCAGCAAAGTCACAGCCTAATGAGAGGCTTGGAGGGAACCTTTTCATGCCAGCCCCTGGGAGCCTCAGGTAGAACTTCAGGGTCTAGGTGGAGAGGTGACGGAGCAGGGGACACCTCCCTCAGCCAGAGCAGCTTCATTTGGGTCTGTCTCATACATTACAGTCTACTGAGCTTTTCTTTGGAGAGAAGTTCTGCCTTACTTTTTTTTTTTAATTTTAAATAATTATTTTATTTAACTTTTTTAAAAAATTGATTTATTTTCATTTGCCAGAGAGAGGGAGAGAGAAAAAGTGAAAAAAACACCCCTCAGCAGGGTAGGGTGGGGTGGGTGGTGGCCACACTGTAATCTCTTCTCCATTTTCCCTTTGGGATAGTGTACATGCGTGCAAACGTGCCTGGCGTGTTTGGTGTTTTTTTGTTTTTTGTTTTTGTTTTTGTTTTTGAGAGGTTTTTGCTATAGGGCGCATGCACTCGCCAGAAAGACAG